AAAATTGCTATTGTCGCAACGACCTTTAAGCATGCAGGCCATCCTGCAGCCACTGAGTCTAGCTGTTTAGGAAAATAGGCCTCTGGTCATGGAAGTAGACATAACTTCTGATGCAATACACCCAGAGCCACTCCTTGTTTCCCTGATACAGTGAATTTCTGGTCAAAGTTAAGGACTGCTAGTACTGGAGCTTCTGTACCAGCTCTTGAATGCTTTGAAAGAATTCCTCCTGTTCTCCTGTGCAGTAAAGTATGTCTGTATCAGGATACTTTAAAGCCTCATCCTCATAGAAAGGTTTAACCATGAATTCATATACTACAAAATCCTGCCATTCCCAGGAATATCCTTACCTGTTTCTTCTTGGTGGCCCTATATATAATATAGCTTTCTGTTCTGTGAAAAAGCACATGTTCCTGGGATCAGAATGTATCTTATGTAGTTTACTTCTTGTTTAGAAATCTGATCTTTGGTTGGGGAAACTCTGTACCCCATTTTCCTAAAATGTTTAATATTTGTATGGTATTGTCATTTAAGTCTTCCTTGGATAGGCGGAAAATGAGAATACCATCTACATACTGCAGGAATGATTCATCCTTTAATCAGGGCTCTCTGAACTCCTTTTAAGAGCATTACCACAGAGAGCTTTCTCTAAAACCTTGAGGGAGGGTTGTCCATGTATATAGCTGAGTTGTATTTGAAGAGGAACCAGTGCATTCAAAGGCAAATAAAAATTGGGATTCTGGGTTTCACAGAATGCATAAGAAACATTCTTTAGGTTTAGGACTGCATACCATTAAGTGCCCTCTGGTATCTGTGTCAATATAGGATAATGTTTGCCATATTAGGATGAATAGGAATGACTGCCTCATTAATACTCTGAGGTCCTGAACCATTGTATATCTCACATTTCAAAACACAAAATACTAGGAGTATTACAGGGGGACTGACATGGAACTATGTGTGCATATTGAGAAACTTAGCAATTAAAGGTTGAAGTCCCCAACTAGCTTCTGGGTTTATGGCATATTGATAGCAGTGAGGAAGTGCAGTTTTGTGTTTCAAAAGGACTCAGATAGGCAAAACATATGTATGCTGTCCAGATATTCCCTGGTCCCAGACTTGATGATCTACTTGATCTTTTATTTCAACATGGAGAACATCCAAATTTGGGTCTGCTACAGTGTTTACTAACATCATAACAAATGACTAGGACTTAGGAGCAATTATTTTAAAGATGCACCAAGAAATGATGATAGCAAATCTCTTAACTCAGCCCAAGTAAGGTAAAAGGCTAAAGTTTGAGCCTGAATCTTCTCAGCAAATCTTGTAGGGTCCTCTGAAAATATTCCTAGCTTTGTTTACTTCTCTCAAAGGACAGGACAGAGCCTATTATGGACAATAAAGGATGCCATGAAGTGTAATTCCAGTTGGGTTGTCCTCTGGTAAAGGGGACAGGGGGGGTTAAAGGGTGGAGGTTGTGGTATGACAGAAGGTACCAAAGTGTCAAGTCCTGAAGGTACAGGATAGTATCTGGTATTCTTTGGACATAATCGTGGCATTGTGATTTACTGAGCTTGAGGTAGCTGAGGATCAGTAATTAAGGTATCCACTATATCTATTGGTTACTCCTTTATCTATGAGAATGTATGGGGCATAATGCAACCCACTAGTCTTCTCATGAGTAAAATGTTAGTATAATGCCTTAAAGGCCTACACATATGGAACTTCTGACCACTCTTACTGCTCTCTACAATACAGATCAAGTTCTGAGGTAGCATTGGGGTTAAAAGTCCCATACACTGGCCATGCCTCTCCATTTCCCAGCTTATATTTTGACCAACCAGTATTACAGAAGAAAACCAGCTTCTTCTCAATCAGACCTTTAATGTAGGAGCTTCCCAGTTATTAAGCATGCATCTTAGTGGTGTCAGTGGGAATGGATGTAGAGTTACCCTAGCTGAGTCTCTCTGTAACCTAGGAAGAAAAAAGGTAGAAGGAGCTCAGTGTGAGCCAAGTTATACTTTAGTATATGACTTAATAGATGTAATCTGGTGCCTTAGAATCATTTTTGTACCCCAAGGTGGGATTTCCTGTTCCAATGTGGGAATCTCCAAGGTGAGAGACAGTTGGGACTCCTCTTTATATTGATTTTGATCTGGGATGTTATCAATACCCAGGGTCCCTTGAATTTTGTAACCACTGTACCTGGAGTAACTGGCCACTATGGGACACTGTCACTGTCTTTAAATTGCCAGTACATCAGAGGACATAATTTTGTGTATTGGGCATTTTCCTAGTGCCCCAAATGAGGTTGGGTGCTGTCGTCATTGCCATTGGGAACCAACGTCTATGGAACACTATACCTCAGGCCTGGAGACTAAGCTTCAGGGTGATAGAACCCATCATAAAACTAAAACCACCTGTCAGTTTTCTTAAGCCCTGAGCTCCTGCATCCCAAGAATTCTTGGGGGCTTTCACTCCCATACCTAATATATTCAAACTACACAGGCCTTAAATCTCACACCTGGAGAATGCGCTCCAAGGTTATGCCAGCATCCAAGAATTTTCAGATGTTGGAGCTGAGAAATCACAGTGATTAAACTCCTTTTCTCTTCTATTTAGTTCCTTTTGAAATGGGGGTGTAATTGGCTGTGAATGAACTAAAACCAAAGCAGAAACACAAAATTTTTGGAAAAGAAAATTAAAATAGATACAAAGAAATATCTCTGGGTGCTTCAGCTTTACATGGAAAAGCTAAGAACACACCTGGGCTTAAACTGAGTTCAAGGTTCAATAACCTGGCATTAATGTTTACCTGGATCTGTCAGGCAAATCCATTGAGCATCTTATTATTTCTAAAATGTTTACCACATATTTTTCAAGCAGCATAAAAGCATTCCAACCTTCACAGATAGGAAATGAACTAGTGTTAAAAGAAAAATGTATTTTAACCACTTCAACAGAAGTTCAAAGACTAGACATGGCAGTATTAATCCAAAATATTTAAATGTGTGTAAAATCCTCATAGATTCAGCCATGGATAATAGGTCGCGTTGCAGAGGATGCCCCGCTTTTGTCACCAACAAAGGCTAGTAAAGAATTTGAATCCATTTCACTGTTTCTGACTTCTCTTACTTTCCATAATTTTAAGTTGAAGGGGGTCTGTAAGACATCCAGGGGAGTGATCCCTTAAAGAGTGAGATGAATAAAAATGGGTGGTCATTGTGGGTTTTTTTGAATCACGGATTTAAGAGAAAATATCTCCAATAATGATGGTGGGAACAGTGGGCCTGATGGGAGGCGCTGTATGTGGTAGAGAGGAGAGAGACAGCCCCAGTGGGAGGTCTGGGAAGGCAGACCTTTGCCTGGGATCTCCGAGGCCTGTGGAAATCGCAGCATGGTAGAATGGAGCTGGAGACCATGAGGAAGTGCAGAATGCTTTATTTGTAACAGGGAAGGTCTAAGTTCAGAAGAAGATGGCAATGGGTATAGTGTGGGGTGGACAGGGTGGCACACTGGTTGGCATGAGGTTTTTCGGAACTGGGGCTTTTACATGAAGATTAAGGAGTGATCGAGAAAACACAAGTAAATATACAAAAAAGGGATTGTGGTCATGCATATTCCATTCATTATTTATTTATATCCTGCCTCATCTAGAAAAGAACTTGTGACAGGTATAGTAGCTGTTGATAAAATACTTGGTGTCAACTATATCCTGAATTTTTTCCTGGTCCAGATATCAGACATGCTGTTCTTGGGATAAGTACTTGATGCAACAATTAAGATGCAACTTGGGAAGCCTACATTGAAACCCTGGCCCCACTTCTCATTCCAGCTTCCTGTTAGTATCCACCAACAGTGTATGTTGACTCAAGTAGTTGAGTCCCTGCCACCTTTGTGAGAGGCTGGATTTTAGTCCATAGCTCCTGCCTTTGGCCTGGCCCTGCCCCAGCTTGTTGCAGGCATTTGGGGAGTGAACCAGTAGATAGGAGATCTCTGTTTCACTCTCTCTGTTGTGCCTTTCAAATAAATAAAAATAAGTAAAATAAAAAATTTAAAACTGTTTTCCTTAAAGATATGACATTCTTAATTGATTTTATTTAAAGGTAGACAGACACATAAAAAGACTGACAAAACAGGTTTTCTGTTGTCTCTCATACAACAGAGACTAGGTTCCTGTAAATCATTTAAAGAGATCTCTAAATGGTCATATTTTAAGAACAGATTCCAACCCATTTTGTCAATAATGAGATTAAATCAACAAAAAATTCAGAATTATTAGAGAGGAAATTGAAAATTAAATATTGCTATTAAAATTAACAAAGTGAGCAACAGTAAAGTTATATTGTGCTTTGGATTTACCTACAAGAGGCAAGAAAAGTTCCTCTTGGGCTTGAAACAAGCATTACATTTAACGAAGCATGAGTTTGCAAGTGAGATACACTGGGCATACCAGTGTGGACTTCACAACTGTCAACAGATATTTCAAACAGTAAAGTCATGACATTCATAGCAAATATAAAATGGGTATGTGTTGAAATCTATTTAACTCATGAGGGAACTGACAGATAAGTAGTCCAAAAATGAATCCAAAGAACAGATACAGAAATATTTAAGGTTATATAAGCATCTCTACCAATGGAGGCAAAATTGGCTTTTTTACAAAATAAGAGGGAGATCGATGGACTTCTACAATAGAAGGCATTCAGCCTCTCAGTGAACACTAATTTACAAAAGGATGTAAAAGAACTTGAGAGATAGCTCAGGAGCACAAGGAGAGAACCTGGAGTGATATCCTAAAGACACAGCAGTATTTCCATTGAAAAACAAGTTTTTGCTAAATTGTGAAAATCAATTAGAAAGTTAGGGTTTTCTCAAAAAGAGAGTCTTGTCACTATGGTAACCAGCTTTGTGCCATGGGCCCCACTCAGGTAGACACCTTCCCCCCCCCCCAGTGACAACACATGACATCACAAGGCATAGATTGTTACAAAGGCAGCTCCCTGACCAATGAGGGAGGCTGGAGCCCAGTGGGCGGCACTAAGCACTGTTATCTTGTAGGGCCCAAAACAGCAGGAAAATCAAGCAGACCCAATTAGGGCAAAACCCAGCAATCATCATGCCTGGGAGAAAGCACAACCCATGCCCCCATAGACGTAGGAGGCGAGCTGTCTCCCGCTCCATGAGAGCTGAGCTGCAGTTCCCAGTTAGCCATGTGGACTGCCTCCTGCGAGAGGGGCATTATGCCCAACGCCTGAGCTCAGCTGCACCTGTTTTCCTGGCTGGTGTTCTCGAGTACCTGACATCCAATATCCTGGAGCTGGCAAGCAAGGAAGCCTACAACACTGGCAGAGTGCGCATCACCGGAAAACATGTGGAGAGAGCAGTGCAAGATCACCAGCAGCTCAGGAGCCTTCTGGAGAAAGGCACCTACTCTGAAGTTGAAGAGATGTACCAGCTAAGGGACAAGCAGTGATGCCTGGGTCTCAGAGCCTGGCGAACCTCACCACCAGCCTCATCCAGCTCCCCAAATTCCAACAGACCAAGGAGCCTGTGGGTCTGCCATCAGCCTACACTATTAAAGCCTACATCAATGCCAATCTCTCACTCTTGATCATTGTGAGTTGAAGGTGTTTGTGAGTCATGTGGGATATGTAAATCAGGGATTGCAGTGATGACAAAGGAGGACAGTGACCCTGGTGGGAGAAGCTGCCTAGGGTAGAGTGGAGAGGACACAGCCCCACTGGGTCTGACTATGGGAGGACTTAGGAGTCCAGGATATTGGCTAGGCCTTCCCAAACCTGTGGAACTCCCTGCATGATACCAGGAACTGGGTGGAGCAGGAGACCATGAGCAGTTGCAGCAGTTATTGGTAATAGGGAATGTCCAAAGTCAGAAGGTGATGGCAAGAGATGTGGAGTGTTCATGGTAGACACTGGTTGACAAGAGCTTAATGGGACAGGGGCTTTTCCATGAAGATCAAGAAGTAATGGAGAAACTATTATGGGAAATATACAAAATGGGAAATAAACAAGAAAAGGCAAAATATACAAAAAAGGGAAATATACAAAAAGGGTTTTGTAATCATGCTGATTGCATTTATAATTTATTTAAACCCTGCCTCATTAAAAATATATTGAGACAGATATTAGTAGTGACTTGGGGCACTTAGTAGAATATTTCCTTCTGTCTTCTTGTGAATAGTGATAAATAGTGATATTGTATAAAAGATGCTGTCTGGCCTAAAACATGCAATTTAGTCAGTTCTTAATTGTAATGAAGAATTTTTAAATTGATTTTTTTGGAGGATCATATATTTTAAATTTATATTACAGTAAAAAGTCTTAGTGCTTCAGCAAATAACAAGTTTCACCAGTAAAAGCAAAAAGACCCTGTTTAGTGAGAATATAGAAATGGCTACAAACAATAATTGAACAGAAAAATGACCATTGCACCCATATACAATAAAATTCAAAGTAATCAAAGATCACTAATACTATAGTAGTATAATGTTCTTAACCATTGGTTTGACTAAATAAAGAAAGAAGGGGAAAGGAGGGAGGGAGGATGGGAATATCATATTCCTAGAATTGTATCTAGGAACTATATTGAATCTGGTTAAAAAAACTTTAAAAATTATAAAAAGCTTCAAACATTTCTCAGATGAGACACCTAACCTGTCTCTGAGCATGGATGTCACAGAAGATAGACTAACCAGGGGCTGACTACCTGCTTGGAGAAGCAAGTGTCGATCTGTCCCTGCTGATGGACTCAAAGTGCACACAATGGTCGGAAACACTCTCATAGGCTGTTTCAAGTTACAGATCGCTGCCACGTCAAGTGTTGTAGCCACCTGACCCCTTGCCTGTGCATCCTCACTCGAGGTTTCCACTGTTCCTTGCGTCCATGATGCCTACCCACCTGCCTACTCCATTGCCTCCCACAGTGGGTCAGGGGGCCTGCATTCGAGATCCCAGTTCACCATTTCTGGCCGCGTGGTCCTGAGCCTTCACCTCTTCCCCTACGCAGGTTTCCTGGTGTGTGAATTGGGCAACACAAGGCCCTCCTCCGCTGATTTTGTAAGGACTGAGCCCACTTGTGCCTGTAAATGGTTTCATCACACAGCGTGTGGCACAGGGCAGTCTTAGTGAGTGGCTGTGTCCGCCTTCCTCCCTGACCCCAGGTGCTCAGGCATGCTTCCCAAGAAGACAGGGGTGGAGGGACAAACCAGTCAACACCTGGTTTCCTCTGAACCTTCTACCTGAGAGACCGTCCTGTTTCTGATTCTGTAAACAAAAGGACCTGGCATGGTTTTTGCATAATTCACAGAAGTGGTCCAAGAATGAAGGAAACAGTACTGGGTTGCGTTTGTGGATTTTTGGAGTATGTGCTTGTATAAATTAGGAACCTTTCTTGCTGCATGAAGCCCACTGACCTCAAATTTATAGTGTCCTCATTGTTAAGATGTCCTCCCCACACATTTGTGGTTTTTATAGAGAGCCATGCAGCTCTCCTAGCCATAGCCAATGTGGGGAGCAATCCGGACTAGACTAGGTTACTCGAATTAAGACTTATTCTATGCATCTGCTCTCCCACAATATGGCGCTGGGAGAGAAGTAAACAGCTTCCGCACAGCTGCCTCCAGTTCAACTAATAAACTGTAGGACTTGCTCCTGATTGGAGGAGAGCAGCGTACTCGGCGTGTGGGCAGCCGAGTTGGGATTGGCGGAGGAGGACTATAAAGGAGGAGAGAGACGGCATGCACCGGGAACATCTATGGGGAACATCTAAGGGAACCCGTGCAGCCCCCGAGAAGAGCCGGCCGGCGGTGTGCCGCTCCCCTGCGGAAGTGGGGAATGTGGCCAGGGGGAACTGCCCTTCCACGGAGGTGGAAGGGACAGTAGCCAACCCGGGAAGAACCAGCAGCAAACCCGGGGAGGGCCGAGCAGACAGAACAGCGCAGGGTCCTGTGTCGTTCCCCCACGAAGACGGGGAGCGACATAATGGTGCCGTGACTCGGATATGAAGCCTAGGCAGGGCTTAGTGTCATTCCTCCACGAAGAGGGGGAGCGACATAATGGTGCCGTGACTCGGATATGAAGCCTAGGCAGGGTTTAGTGTCGTTCCTCCACGAAGAGGGGGAGCGACAGCCAAACTCTTATGTTTCTCTCCTCTCTCCTGTTCATTCACATACCAAACCTGG